ATTGTCCCGTGGCATTGTATGTACGATGGCTATCGTTTGTCATTGTTGCGCCGTGATTGATAATAGCCACTAAGCTCGTATCGGTAGCAACCGCGTCCGCGTTCGAACGATCGTTGACACCGAACGCGCGTGTTCAAACGCACGGCAAATCGCTTTAATTAATTCTATCACGCGTTGAACTTAAATAACAATGGGGAAACTTTGAACTTCATCTATCATTATGCTAACGCGTAAAATCCCCGTAACGGTATTTATAACCGTTCGACTAATAACGCATGCCGACGATACGGAGACAAATGTGCGGAAGGGAGAGACACTTTCAACGATATCAGGCAGTCGGCGGTGTTTCGAGACACCCGTTACATGGCACGCAAGAGATACGCCGCGTTACTGGCGCCGTGCCTATCATTACGTTGTTTAACTCATAATACGTCGTAACACGTACGCTACTGCAGCGTGTATCACAACCGTTTACGCGTTTCAACGAGCGTCCGCGCGAGCCCGACGCTAACGATCCTCCGCGCTCACCATCGTGCAACCCGCGTTGCGTACCTTGATTCACTCGTCCACTCGCGTGTCGGATCGAATACAACATGCATCGAATCCCGCGTTTTATCGCGTATAAATTGTTACGTGTAACGAAATTTTATACGAATTTAGCATTTTTTTTTTTTTTTTTTTTTATCATAATCCTCTTTATTGAATTATCGACAGGAAACATTTGTATCAGAAATTATTCGGAATACAAAGCGTTTCGAGACGAAAGGTGTCTTCGAGAGGTTGTCAATGGTGCCAGAAAACGCAAGAAATTAGAGAGAAAGCGTTCCTCTTCCGTCCGACGTAGGACCACGAGTATCATCATCGTGTCCGCACTTCCGGCTGTTTCGAACCCCTTGCACGCTTCCCATCCGGTTAGCTTTCGAGCATCCAGCAACTTGCATCGGTCGCTCGCATCCTATTCGACTCATTGATGCGGTTCCCGCCTCTCATCCCTTTATTACAATAACTCACACTTGCATAT